AGAGGTGTCCAAGGCCCCAAGATGGTTTTATAGGTCCTGCTCCCTTCTTACCCTAGCCAAGGCCATCTCTCTGAGTAGAGAAGCCTTGTTTGGATGGGGGAGGAGGAAAGACGGGTGATCTGGAGCACCAAGGCACTTTCAGGGAGCCCCCAGAGGCTGAGTGAGGGGCTCTTGGCAGACAGGAAATGGAGAATGTGGTCAGCCCCGTTGGTGCTTCAGTCGAGGGTGCTGCTGGCCTATCCTTTCCCCAGAGCTCCCTGTGGCTCTCAGGACAGTTGGTAGCTGCTCCCCAGTGGCTACAGCAGGGAACCAGAGAGCTGGACTGGCCAGGAGTTGGTCCTGTGGCCCAGCAGTGGGATAAGGGGCATTCTTCTCAGGCTAGCCTGCTCTGCCTATCAGCAAACAGTTTGTGTGGCTGCCCAGGAGCAGTCAGCTCTGGGATTGCAGACACCCTCTGCTTGGATCTTCAGAGCACTGCCTGTTAGGTGATTCCTTAACCTAGAAGGACCCGTCCTGACTGATGGGCACATGTTCTGGTGAAGAGAGTTAGTCTCTTGTATATCTCCATAGCAACATCTTTAGAAACAGAAGCAAAAGTGTAGAAGATGGTAGACACTTTGTAAGCTAAGTGATGTATAGTGATTGAATGTATAAAATAAATTAAAATTTAAAAAAAGAAAAAAAAAAATGATGGACTGCCGTGCAGTCGAGACCCACGACGATCCCAGCTCACAGATCACTGAAGAGGTGAGATTGTGGGTGAGGCACTCAGATGTCGTCTCATTCAGCTCTGAAACTGCTGCAGGCCTGGAGCCAAGAGCAATAGGGACTTCTTTACAGGGAAAGGTAAGTTGCATTTGGCAGCGAGGACATAACTTTTAAAGTCATTGAACTCTATTCTTCTGCTTTCTTGAAGATTTTAGTGTTTCTTCATTTACTTTCTTTAAAAATAATAACAGCCTAGGAACACTCTGGATAGTCAGTCAAGAGACTGACTCTGTCTGAAAGCCTCTGGCACTGTGAAGGGTAGACTCGATAAAAGGAAAAGGACCCGCTGAATTCATCCCAGTGCTCACCTGAGCCAGTGCAGCACGCGATCATCTGTAGGACGTCTAGCCCAGGCTGGGTACTGCTGCCGTGGCCTTCTGTGCAGGCAGCACTAAGCCTCTCACTTGTGAACCTCGCAGCCACATTGCACTGCCCGGAAGATGCACAGCTAGGAGTGCGTTTTCGCTTTCCTAATGAGGTCTCCTGCTTTTGACCTTTCCAAGACTGACTGTCTCTGTCTTGACTAACTTTCTTTCTGCATCATCAAATCTGGTACCTAAAAGAGGCAAGCAACCCTTTAACCTGATGATCCTTAAAAACAATTTTTCCTTCCAGTCAAGACCCAACTGGCTATATATCTCAAATTTGGGAGTGGCTAGTCGACATGAAATCTTCCCAGTGCCCGGGGAATGTAGAAGCACTGGAGTGACCAGTTGGGACAGTGTAGTCAGGCCTTGAAGGGAACGAGAACTAGCATCCACATGAAACCTCAGATTTCTGTGCTCCATCAGTCTCATCTCTCCTGCATGCAGTCGCTTTAGACTCTAGTCGGGTGAGAGAACTGGGCAGAGATTATTGCTTTCCTTTTACAGGCAGGAAATAGGGACATAGAAAGTGACCAGCAGTGTGAACTCTGCATCCACATCTCCTGGACCTCAATCCAGTGTTCTTTCTCTGAGCCACACCACTGTTCTCCTTTCGGTGATCCTGGGATGCCAAGAGAAAAAAAACTCTTGTGTGCCGATAAAACTGCATTGCAGTTATATTATTTTAGTGTGTGTCCACAACAGAAGACCGTTGACAAAGGAGTGAATCAGAATTACATTTACATTCATTACAGACAGCACATTCCATTTGTGAGTGATTCTAGCCTTGCAAGGATCTTTCCAAGAGTATTGGTTAAAATGATATTGGTGCTCTAAGAACCAATTTGGAGAACATAGACTGACTTAAGATTTCTATAAGGCTTTAGTGGAAGCAGAGCAGTTTGCTCAAAACAATTGGGACGTGCTGAAATCAAAACCACTTGGAGGCGCTGACATCAGACCTTCATGAACAGCGCAGTTCTAGATGGGTAATTGCCCGCCCGCCATCCACCCCCTTCCTGGACATGAGCCAGCATGGAAGGACACAGTCTTGCTCAGGTTGAATGGAACCTGACCAACACCCAGGACTGTCCCCAGGGGGCGGTTGGCCTGCAGGCACCATGAGCACAGCTTTCAAGACGGTGGGTGGCAGGCACCTGGCTAGTATGTGCTGTGTCAGATATGGGACATCAATAAAGAGGGAAATGTGATATAGTTGATGTGCTTCCCAGACATTGTGATCTGCCCATTTAAAAAGAGCTTTCTATAGACAAGTGTTCTAAGACTTTGGACGAGAGCCAACCACAGACCTGCCAGGGACCTGATTGTAGGGCCTCATATGTAACCAGGCACATTCCTCGAAAGAAACAGCCATGATGTGAAGTATAGGCCTCCAAAGAGGCTGCCCTTTAAGAGGGAGCCAGCCCCTACTCTTGGCTAATAACTGAAAGTGTGTTGTTTGTGCCATCCATCTTTCTAGAAGTTATCATTCTTTTACTCACTTGAAACATCACTACATTTTGTAGCATTGCAATGTAGACTAGGAGCTTGCAAATCAACTGCTGTATATATTTTTAAATGACATGCATGGTTTAAAAGGACTCCTAGTTTCTAAGTACATGAATTTCCCCAAAGAAATAATATATGTTCTGGGGATGATCAGGGTGATGGCCTGGAGA